GTAATGTCCTCGATGATAGTATTGTTAGACTGATATGGAAGAGCGTCAGAGCTGTAGTTTTCGATATTTGGATCGGTGGTAAATATAGATGTGAAGTAGTTGTTGAAGAGCGCAGCAATATCTGCTGGATTTCCTGCGGATGTTCTTTTGGTTTCAGTTACTTTCACCGAGAGCTTTTGAGGAATGTTCCGTGTCTTATTATTGAACTTGAACAGGGACCAGAAGCGTTTGGGATTAAGTCCACGGCTGGAACAAATAGAGTCGAAATATTTGGAGCGACTGTTACGTAACATGCTCTTGATTACGTAACATGCTCGAGATATTCAGTAGGTGTAGGGGATTTCTTAATTCTGAGGCGGAGAGAGTTTTTGTATAGCAGTAATACAGCAAAAAACAACATTGACAGGGCATTGACAACTTCGATTTCAAGAAAACGAATTAAGTATTTCACGATCTTTTGTCCACACGTTGTCTATTGAAACAATATCACTTCTGGAATTTATCGGCAGTTTTAATAGCCCACTGCATGATCGTCTTTATATATTTATCACTTAGGAGTCAAAATGTACTTTTAGTTTATTTGTTTGTTTGCGTGTGTGGCTATGTGCCAAGGCGATGAGTTTATGGTGTTCATTCTACTAGATGTTCATAGCAATGTGCTTTCAGCATGCGCACGTTTTAAAAACAAACGTGGGATGTTGTGTAGGCCTATACACGTATTAATAATCAGGCTTAATGTAAAGATATTCTTATAGCAACCCATTGTGGATTGTTGTCTACACATATTAACTTACCAGCAGTTTACATGTAATAACATGTCAACCGACTTTTGTACAAGGTATGACGGTCTGTAAAAATATATTTCTGAGATATGTCCATTGTTAGCATAATATGAAATAATCCTGAAATATGCCTACATTCGTATATTCACCTGGCTGTGTCACTACATTTCAGGGTGTACTATATTTTTCGATAATGCTCACAATTTCTTTCTTATTATATAGTTTTGCAGTTCTGATTGAGTACAATCTTAATCATTACAAATGAGTGGTGTCATCTGAAGCTGACGTATTAAACAAGAATTTCAACAAATAGATTTTGTCTCCCCATCAGCAGATTGTTCAGTTGCTCTGCGATAGGCGTAGCCTTGAAGGTGCCATAATTAAAACGATAATTGGGACAAAAACTGACTTAATATTTCTATACATGAAATTGTTATTAAATTCTAGATGTCCAACGATTTATTCAAGTAATATCATTGTTTATATGTATGATGTTATTGTACAGTATTCAGTGGCAAGCTAGCCATGGCAATTGCTCATGCTATGTTAATAAACCTGCAATGCAAATCATTAAAAACTAAAACTTGCATAGCATGACCCGTTACTATGGCTAGCTTCACCACTGACAGTATTATAATGATACATAAAAAAGCAAGCAACTATCAATTACATACTGTAAATGCAAATCCATCGTGCTTTTCGCGCTTAGAGATCGACTTTAACTTTGAAAGGGCAACCTTAATTGAATTACGGCATGTAGCTGACATATTGCCTTTTCACGTAACCAACCAATAATAATGTTCTGGCTTAACTGTTGGTTGGTTTAGCGAGGCTACAAGACGCACATGACGATCAAGTCGATATTTTGTATAAAGCTAGAATAATGAGTAAAGTTTATTTCCATCGAGTTTTCAAACTTTTATATATTCAAAAACTATATGGACAAACTTACCCAAAGCATTGTACAAGGTTAGCTGCCATGCTCCACCAGCTTTCAGCTCTGCTGTGTCAATAAATATATCAAGATCAGGTTTCTTAATTCGCAGTTCCTTCATAATCTGCATGGCATGCTCTGAATTGCAGTGAGAGTATGATAAGAAAACATCGTAGGTTTGATTGGCTGGTTTTGGTGATGCAAGTGTATCCTTATCAGCCTTAGTTGTGACTTCAAGTGCCTCATATGAAAGACTACCAATAACTGTGAGACATGCTGCATTTAACTTCTCTTGAAAGCTGATCCTAAAAAACATAGAGCAAAACATCATATATCTGAAGTGGAACCAAAACTGAAATATTATGAAAATGGACATTTAAATTTAGAATTTGGTGAGCCTACGGCCAAGCTATAGACTTTGGTCAAGTTGCAACTAACTACTCATCCAGCACTGGGAACTTCATACCTGCAGTCAATATACTGTGTGATCCTCATGTAAGTCGGCATATACGGCACTTCAGAAACATACAACGGCATCAAGACACTCTCTTGTGTCTTACGACTATGACATAATGCAATATTGTATTGCTCCGTACATCGTTCTGATTGCAGGAAGGATGGAGTGATAAGAGCCATAACGCGTGTACACTTCTTAATGACGTCATACAGTTGAGTCTGCCAGGATGTTTCTAGATCAAGTTTTTGAATAGATGAGAATACCCGGATATTGGTTTTATTCTTTACCAGAACATCAACAACTTGGTCTACACATTTTATATCTTCTTCGCTGTAGGACAGATAAATATCATATCTGTCGGACTCAACTTCAACCTACAGTAAGATTATCGATATCAAAATTTATATCTTAAACTGGATAATGATTATTTCTACGACATGCATGTGTAACCCAAATTCTTAATTGTTCCCAGGTTTTGGAGATTGTTTTAAAAAACGGTTGGAAATCTTTGTAGGGTTCGAAATTGATAAAATCGACATTGCCTAAGCAATGTCTAGTGATACTGGACAATTCTGTTCAAACAAGACGCTCTCTCTAGCGTTAAGGTCACTGGGGTTATTAAGACCACATGATCTTTATGATCACTATGACATGACATGGCGTAACATGATCTTTATGTCATAATCAGATCATGATCAGATCATATCTTTATTAACTATGGTATTTCCAATCTTGATATTTTTGTTTTTAACACAACATCTTTATCCATGGTGGATCGATCATCGTATAACACCTTCGCAAAGTATCTTAAATTTACCCAAATTCGCCTTGGTTCATGCTCATTACATAAGCTATACTCAGACTACTATGAGAGCCAAGTGGAATTTTCCTACTAAAAATAGTAACTAAAGGAAGAAACACCGAAGCCGAATCGTAGAGTCTCAGAGTCTTGCAGTACGCTGGGGCCGGTTGTTCAAAGCTGGGTTAGCGCTAAGACTGGATTAAAATTCAACCCACTACTTCGGTTTGGGTTAATTTCAAAACTTTGGAAAATGACTTCTACTGATCCAGATACGAATTGTGAAAAAATTGATTGCTTTGAAATTTTCGTTAACCCAGGATTAAGCGACCCAGCTTCGAACAACCACAGTTCTTTGTATGTTTATCCAAGAGTTATACTGGTCACCTACCTCTTTGTCTTGTTTTTCTTCACCTTGCTCATGAATATCCTTCAATTTTTGGAATAAGTCAAATAGTGGTTGGTCAGATTTGCTTATGTTGTCAATATTTCTAGAAAATATGACAATTTTCAAAGAACGTAATGGTAATCCAGCTTTCATCCAATGTATGGCTGCATTCATAAGAAGCTTAAGCATCTTCGTTTTGGATTTCCGCTGTAAAAAAGAGACGAATGTGTTCGATGCCGATTTGGAATTCAGAAATGAAATCTGAAATGGTATTTCCAGTCATTTTTGGAAAGTGGATTTTGTCATACTCAAATATTAATAAAGAGTGTCATTTACACTTTATGTTATTAAAACAACAAACCTTTCCTTTGACTTTTTTTTGGTACAAGGAGGGAATATTTTGGTTTACAATCTGAACAAATAGCCGGCGATTGTCTACATACAGTATAGACAGCGAGAACGAAAGCCCGATTTACTGCATATATGAACTGTCTGGACGAACTTGGTCAAAATTGACCAAGATAATTCGCCTGCATGTATATAAACACAACAAGCACTAAAATTCGTTAAGACGAATGATAGATTATAGTGTGTATAATTTGTTCACACAGACGACCAATTTGTGGCGCTTTTTGTCGTTTACGGATGAACCGCCATGATACCCCATGAGTTGTCACAATTAGTAATATTTCGAGTAACTATAAAGAATTTTAAAATCGAAAAATCGGCCTTGGTAGAACATTGATTTAATCTGGATAAAATTGAACGAGTCTGGAACAGTAGAGAAATTAGGGAGAAGCTAACCTTCTGCGCAGGGAAATCTGTTTGACCTGCATGGGTTCCTAAGCGGCGAAATTTTGTTAAAGGCGGAAATTCTACAAATTTTCTTTACAACCGTTTATTTGAATGATTTTTTTCTGGCCGTTGTCGTTGCGGCAAATTTCGAAGCTGTCGACGGTCGAGCACATCATTGATGGTCAAACATATCATTAATTTCGTTCTCAAATCGAGTTTGCGATAATTAGCGCGTTTGCGATAATTAGCGCGACATCTTATACCAAGTCGATGTTTGTAAGGATTTCGCGCAGTATGATAACATAAGGTTTCAGATTTTTGAAAAGATTGCAGGTAGCAGTCGAAACGCAAAGCAGTCAATTTGGTTTACTGGTTATTTTGCCTTCGACAAAACAGTTCAGAAATGTTATAATTTATAAACAGATAATTTACGTTAAGTGTACTAGTGTAGTTGTGTTTAAAGGGCGGACAAACCGGCTTATATTGTGTGTAAACGACTGCTGTAACTTGATAAGTTGATGAGGTAAACAATGCGAAATTTGAAAGAAAAATCCCTAAATGATCCCATCAAAATCAAAATTGCAAGGTTTATAGATATATTATTATACACACATAACATTATGTCAAAGCTCCAAAACTATAAATATTATTTAATATTGTTGCAAATGTTGGCATTTTCCAACCTGCTCTGTTGTATCTCGTAGGGGGAACGGTACGAGACGATTTTTCAGAGTTCCGGTTCCGGCCGGAACTAATAAAAAAGCATGGCCGGAACCGGAACTCTGTTATTTTCAGAGAGATAGGATATCAAATGTTTTTGTGTCTAACAAAAGTTCACAGTGAGACAGTGCTCTCACAATCAAATTTTCGAATTCCTTAGAAAAAGCTCGAAAATTCCTCAGATTTCCTTAAAATTCCTTAAATTGGTAAAATTACTACAAGGCCTGATCACAGAGTTGCAAAAAGTGTTTTTTTCACCTGATTTACCTGAATTTTTCGAACTGAACGTTCTTTAAAATCATTTTTTTTGAAAATTTGAAGGTTCTAGACCGTCGGAAATGGCATTTTTAGAGTCTTTCCTACCCAATATTTTAGTATTGCCTAACAATGAAGATAAGTATTGCTACTTTCAGTTTATAATGGGAAATTGAGAAAATTTTGGAAATTTGGAGTCTCCAGATCGTCAGAAAGGGTATTTCGCAATTGTCTCCCTGCCACAACACGTCTCAACGTCTTTAGTTTGTTTGATTGTTAACTCCAATTCAGATTAGAGAGTTCACTTTTTTATGCCCTGAGAATTACCTGAATTTACCTGAAAATCTACAGGATATCTACCTGAAATTGTTCATGAGCAATATTAGGGGTGTTGCACCCTCCCTCCCCCCTCCCCCGGTCGCTAGGGCCCTGAGAACTTAGAAAATCTGTAGATTTCAGAAGAAACAGCATACACTGACATTTAACTTTTGAGAATTTTAATGGAAAGACATGGCTATGTACATTTACAACATAGAGAACATACGAATATATGTAATTATGCGCACATAATGTTGCTACTTTCAAGTTTAAATCTCATTTGCGTGGCGTGGTTATTCTCCGTCAAAACGTTTTTAGTCCAGGATAAAATGTTTTGGAAATTCCTTAAAAAAATCCTCAAAAACCTAAATTCCTTAAAAAAATCCTTAAAACTCCTCAAAATTCCTATTTTTAAGGATAATTCCTTAAAAGTGAGAGCACTT